TGGTAAGAGCCGTCCATGTGATTTTTGCCACTGCACCCATCTCCCTCACAGCTCTAACAAAGCCAGGGTGAAACCTCCTGCAGCTTCCCTCTCTGGAGCTGTTGTTGCCCAGAAATGGTGGCACTGGATAGCAGCCATCTCTCCCAAGACCTAGCTGCTGTGGGATGTGGAGCTGCCACGCTGCCAGCACTGGGATGCCAGCACAGCTGTCCCACCCAGAGAGCATCTCAGCTCTGCTGTGATCCCTGTCCTGGCGTGAGCTGAGCTTCTGAGCAAATAGCTGGTAACTGGTTTGGGTGTTGCCCAGTATTTGGGTGGTGATAGAATTGCTAGGCTGGCTATGCCTGCAGGAGGAGCAAACTGTTCAGGGGAGCATGTGTATGAATTTAGTGAACTTCTGGGAGATGGGAACACTTCTTGCACTACTGTGGTATATATCCCTGAACAACCTGCCGAAACTCTGCTCCCACCATTGTAGAGGAGCCTGGAATCTGAGGAAGGGTTAACTGGGAGTGTTTGGACAAGGTGTTACATGATCCATGTTCCTAATCCCAGTGTATGGGAGAGGGGCTGGCAGAGATGCTCCCTACGAGTTGATTTCAGCTGTGTGATGTGTTCTTGCTCTGTCTTTATTCTAGATCACATGCAGTGTCTCCTGAACTTCTAGGAAGAGCCGTGCAGAGAACTGTCTCTGACCCTGTGCTTGTGCTGGGGAAAGCCCAGGTGATACCTGCTGCTTCAGGCACTGCCTGCTTTCCTCCCATGTAATCTTGGGCAACGTGAAAACACAGCCTCAGCTGTGGAGTTTGTGCTTTGGAGAAAGGTTCCAGGTGGGCTGATGGAGGAGGAGGATGTCGGTGAGGTGTCTGGCAGCTGCATGGGCAGTGGGCTGGAGTCCTCTGAAATCCCAGTCTCTCTCTAACTGCTTTCAGAGCTGACAGCACTCAGCCTGCCAGCGGGCGAAGGGGATGGGTGGGCTTCTCTGCTTGTACGTGGGCTACACAAGCCCACTTGGCCCTCGGGAAGGAGCTTTGCCCATCGGCAGTGCCAGGGCACAGGCAGGAGGGGAAGGGGAAGCTGAGCAGTGCCCAGACGTACTTGAGGTGGTGGAAGTCGTGGAACTCTGGCGAGGGCAGGAAGGGCAGGTGGTAGCCACAGTGTGAAATGCTTGTTGTTACGAGAGCAATGGAGATCCACGCTGCAATTGAAATGATGTGAGACCCCATGACCATCGGGCCGGTTATCACAGGCAGGGTGTTGGAGATCTAGAAATGAGAAGCAAATTCTACCTCATTAACTGGTCCACAACAGACAGACTCTCTCCTGGAAGCTGAATTGTTTCACCTGGGTGATCCATCATTAGTTTTGTGCGCAGGCATAAAGGATGGTCCCTCTGCAAATATCTTACTAAAATCACATAATCATCGAATCATTTACTCTGAGCTAACTGAATTTTATGTGCTGCAAAACATAGTCACAGCCCAAGCTCCCTCAGCTTGCAGTAGAAGTTAGGCATGAGATCAAACCAGGGATGCAAGAACAGGATGATTCCAGTAAATCACCCTGGAGTCAGAGGTCTGAATTACACCTTCACCTTGGAATGCTGCTGTAGCTGCTTTTGGGAAACCTGCTTGTAAAAGGGGACACGTGCAGTCAGGGCAGTGATGTGATGATCACGGCTGGATCACTATGTTGTGTCCTGCCAGTGGCCTAGACCAAGCTTACTGCACCAGCTAGGCTCAGCTGGAGTCTGGAATATAAAAAATCATTCTGCTGCCCCCAGGCTGTTGGGGAGATTCACAGAGTGGTGCTGCTGCAGCCCAGGACTATTGTTAACAGCAGATAATACTTTTAAGTGGAATCTTCTGAAGGTGGGACATGTTTTCATGAGAAGTCTTGGCTGGAGCAGTGCTGGGAGGCACTCCTGCAAACACCCATCCCAGCCACCAGCACTAAAATCATGACAGAATTCTGCGTCCATGCAGCAGCCCAGATTCTGTAAGTGCCACATCTCATGCTGAAAGCCTGTGCTCCCCCAGACCTCTCTGTGCCCAAAGAAGCACCAGTCAGGTCTGCCTCTGTGGCAGGCCCCTGGATCTGTGCTCTTAAAGCTAGTGGGGTCCAGTAGCAACAGGTACTCCAACCCTCCTAAAGCCAAGCTTCTTGGCAACACAGCTGAGCTTCCTCTTCCTAAGGAAGGAGAGTAAGAGTGTATTTGCTTTTCTTCTCTTACCACTCATCCCATGGAAATCACAGTCCATGCAGAAACTGGAGGGTGACCATGGGAGAATCCACTTACTATGTGTTCTAGTGGGTGAGCATAAATGGAGACCACGCCAATGGGGGCTGTCCATTCGTGGTGCTTCTTGTGAATGTGTTTATACAGGACTGGGAGGTGAACAAGCCTAAGCAGAGAGAACACAAAGGCAGGTTTTGAGCTTCACAGGAAAGGAACATAGAGCAACCTAGTGCTGAATTTCTGCGGGGGACTTCCCTCTGCCCTCTCCTTAACATAAAGATTTCAGAGCAGCTGGAAATAAGAGTGTAGGACTCCCGGCTTCCCTCTGTGTCCTGCTTTAATACTGAGCCCTCACTCAACTGTTGTGTCCACTGGCTGATGTCAAACTTAAGTCCAGATAAATCCCATAAACTGAAGCCCCTAAATTACTTACGTGCTTAAACCAGGGAGTGCTCCTTAGGGGAAGACTCCCTTTATATTTTCACTGTATTGGCTTTTCCTACTGGCAGCTATTGGAGTCAGAATTTTAAGTTCTGTGGGTCCTTTGTAAGAAATGGGGTTTTTTTTGTGCATTTGCCCAAAAGGGAAAGCTGCATATTTCTGAGAATGCTGTGCTTGCTTCTGCACAGTCTTTTGAAGACATTTTTCTTCCTCGCTTTATTTTTTTTCCTGTAACGTTGGTGTTGGTGCTTACAAAGCCTGCAGTGTCAGGAGCCAGGCCTGGTTTAATAGGTGCTGTACAAGTGAATGGGAAATCAGTCACTTGACCTCTTGAGCTCTTTTCTTTCAGGATAGTCAGTCTTGTTCTTCTCTTTTCAAGGAATGCTGGGTCACAGCTTTTGTAAAGCTATCTGTTTTGCTTCTTCCTTAGCTTCTAAGCTGCTCCACCTTTGTAATTTTACCCATCTTTGCTTACTGTAATTGGTGGCAGCATCGAAGCCTCATGTTGTTAAGGGTGGATTTGGGGACCTTAAGTCTTCCCATATAAACACAAGACTAGTAGAAGAGGGGGCATTAGGGCTACTGCTGTAGCAGGAGATTGATAAAAGCTTAAAGGCATGGAGGAAAACCACAGAGTCCTGTTCCTGGGCTCATCTCACCTGTGTGTATAATAGAAGAGAATTTCCTCTATCACGGTAAAGACGCTTAGCTCCACAAGAAACCAGCGGAAGGTGGGTAATTCCTTGCTGAAGGTGTTGCCCCACCACTTCATGACATAGAACATGGGCACGAGCATGGGCAAGGAGACAAAGAACTGATTGCATAACGCTGTGTAGATGGCTTGGCGCAATTTCTTTGTGTCCACCTGCAAAATAGAAGTGAAGACTTCAGGCAAAGCCAGGAGCAACGCAGCTTAGAGTGGGAAGGATAAAAAGCTTTACGATTTGTAGGGGGGTTCCACATTAGTTTTGGGATTAATTTTTTAACAAGCAGTCAACCCACATCTGATCAGTAGCCTAATTACAAGAGCTGCCGTGTTCTCTGCCGTGGATATACAAGACTCAGCTTGATTCTCCTTGAACCCTATCGCCTTGCAAGAGAAAAGTGTAACAGGTTCTTCTCCCTGCTCCTAGCCTAGGAGGCTGCAGGAAGTGTTTAGCCAGCAGAAAAGGCAGCACACGAAATACTTACAGGATCATTCTTGCCCGGCTGGATGCGATAGCGAGTAATGAAAGTTGGCTTTCCTGTTACATCAGCCACCATGAGGATCCCATTGAAGCTCCAGAAAGCAAGGCCAGGCACCACTGCGGCCCCTGTGGCGTGAGGAAAGGGCAGAGACGTGTGAATAAATTGAGAGCTATAGCTAAATCAGAAACAAAATACAGTGGCATAGTATCCAGAAGACCTTGCTGAGACCCAGGTGTGCCTGCTGTGTATCCCCTGCCCCGAGGTGCTTTAAAATGGAATATTGGGTAAGTTCTGACATCCAGCTAAGACCTAGGGAATGGGGAGGAGGTTAGAGCAGACAAACGTCTCATAGGTTGAAGCTTGCCACAACTGACCTAAGAAAGGGCTTTTCTGGGAGGCTGGGAGATCTCTATCATGGTGGTTTCTAAATACAGGTAGAATAAGGTTGAGCTGATTCCTGGGACCTTCCAAGGTCCTTTCCAGGCCTGTTCACCAGCCGTTAGTCACAGGCAGAGAAGAGTTTTATAGGTGCTACAGCAAGAGTAAAATGCACTGATTTTACTTTAATTTTCAATAATCAGTTCTACTGAGTCATTCAGTTCTCACAGGAGCAAAGTGTCTTCACAGGGAAGCCATTTCAGCAGCAGCAAGACCAAATGTTTCATCTGTCTAGGAGGGTCTAATGGTGAACAGGTCCAAAGGCAGCACAGTTGCAGTACATCAGCTGTGGCTTGTTGTGAAGCCTACATGTGCTTTTTCGCTGAGAGGATTAGTGAATTTGGGAAGGAATGTCCATGTCCCCATTTCAGATGTAATACCTGGATGATTCCTACAGCAGACAGCTCTTAAAACTCACCGAGGAGAAAGATTGTCCACTCCTCTCCCTCATAATGGTAGTAGAACTTAAGCCATGCTGTTTGCCAGAAATGGCCTGAAGTGTCCCAGATATTCTGCATGTACCTGTGGGAGTAAGTGTTCTTGGTTGCCCATCTTTTCATTATCCACTTTTTTTCCCCCCTCCACAGAAAAGTTTCTCCTTAAGCCCCTTGGTTTGAACAATCTTACCAAGAAAGAGAGTTCACCAAGGCAGTGAACACGAGCACGCCTGTGCCAAGGACGCAGGCACTGGTCTTTAAGGCAGCCCAGAGCTTCTCCTCCTGTGAGCAAGCAACAAGAGTCAGCACATGCTGCTGTGTCCTGCACTGGCATCTTTTGTGTCTGAAGTGCAGGAGGTAAAGGCAGTCCTAGGATGGCCCCTTTTGTCTCACAAGCTCTCTAAAGAACATAATAACAAAGCTGTTATGGGATATTGTGTCATTGAGGGGGGGAGCACACACACATCCAGCTGCCACACTTACAGAGACCCAAAATTTCACAGTCATGGAATTTCTCCAGACTAACCAAAAGGAGACAAAGGACCACTGATCTTTCCCTCTTTGTTTTCATTTGGCACGCTTCTCAGTACCTGGAGGACTATAATATAAAGGGCTTCTGGCCAACTCAGAGCTGCAGGGAAGTCAGTCCTGGGGTTAAGGAATAGTGCTCCATCTCAACTCCCCCATCCTGAATCTTCTCCCTCCCACTATGCAGTATGCTTTCTCCACACAGCAGTCAAGAGCTGTTGTGCTCATATGATCTAACAGCTCCAGGTAATCCAGAACCACTCCTCTCAACGATTCTGAAGTCAGGCTCATGTGCCCAGAAGCTTGCCTTTTTCTCCCCAAGTATAACAGGAGTTGAATACAGGATATTTCCTTTTCTTCCATAATTCACTTTGCTGTGCCTTTAGGCCATCATGGTAGAACTCAGCCCTAGTACTGAGAGTACCACTTGGCTAGTAGGTGCCATGTGCCATCTGTATAGAACAACTGCACATGAACAAGAGGGTAAAAATATTTTAAAAAATCCCTGCTCTCAGTCACAGAAATGTTATCTACTGAAGAACTATTCCTGTATACAGCAGAAAGGCAGCTGTGATGTTAGCATGACTCTCATCACAGTGAGGATTTTAACTATACAAAGCAATGGCGAGAGAGTCAGAAAGTTACCAGTGAGACCTTTTGATGGCAGGAATAAGTGTATTCAAAAAGCAGTGTTTGACATATTTGAGCATTTATATATTCAAGTTGTTTAGCAAATATATAAAATAAATTTATAATTAGCTATCTGTCTTCTAGAGTAGTCGAAGCTGGAACTGGTTCTGGAGGCCAGAAAACTTAGTCTTGGTTTTCTGAGGTGAATATGCATTATATTTATCTGCAGGATAAAAGTTTTTTAAAAAAAATCAAAGCAATTCTGAAATAATAGAGTGTAATAACCAGGTGATGTCTTGGTCATTACTCCATCCTTCCGGCTTCTTAACTGTGGTGTTGTGCTGCACAAACAGAGTAGAGTAAAAACAATATGATTCATAGCTGCTGTCTTGCTTGCCTCCTGTTAGAGAGGATAAACAAGACACAACTCACTAATGAATGTTGAGTGCAGGTGTGCTTAGGGTAATGGGATCTAGAGGAATCCTCTCTACCCAGCTTTCAGTGCTAAGAGCTGCTTTCAAATTCTGTAACAGCTACAGGAGGTTACACATTGCCCGGGACTTGTCAGCAATATTTATCTGGCCCAGAGTAGAACTTTGCTCATTAGCACTGAAACTTTTCGCATTAAAATAAACAACTGTTTCCTCCTATGACTTTATTTTTTTTTTTAAATGGTCAGCAGCTGGGGAGGAAGGCAATCTGCCTGACTCTTGCCCTACAGCTTGGTGTTTGTGCACCCTGTTGGCTTAGATGAGGAGCAGTGCAGTTGGTTGCCAGTGTTATCACTGGGCGTACTGAACTCCAGACACAAGGCTGGCGAATGGCACCTCCTCCACCTTCAGATAGCACACGCTGGATCCCGGGCTGGGGATTTGCTCTCAGCAGTTTCATGCTTCCAATTGCATCCGTGTCGTACCTCGTGTATGCTGACATAAGACTTTCTTAATCTTTAGACTCTGGAATACCATCTACATATTCTTTATAAAAAAGGTTACAAAAGCTGTAAAAAGCTTAGAGCTTTTTAGCAGAACTGTAGTCTGTAAATCCTTGTTTCTCCTATGATGAAGAAAAAACATACCAAAGAAAAACTCTGATGTCTCACAAGTGTCAGAATTTTTGGTTAGGCCAAACAGTATTTCTTTAGCACCTTCCAGCTGAAGTACTCCAGAAATTTCAAAAGCTAATAATTCCCAATACTCATCAGACACTGTACGTCCTGCTTTCATATAGGACAGAGAGTAGCTAAAAGCTTTGAGGCTGTGTTTTTACTGCATGCATTGAATTGTTTATGTGAGTAAATCCCACACCATATAATTACATGAGCTGTAGAATCAGAGAAGTTTACATAGAAAAGAAAAATCTTGTTCATCAAGTCCAGGTGCTAACACCCTGTTTCTCTTTATGCCAGCACCTCCAGCACAATAGTTTCCAAACTCTGATCCATGGATTGCTTGAGATCTTGCCCTTAAAGGGCTTCTACAAACTGACAGATTCTTTAAGTACACAACAGGGTTGCTGCCTGGCAGGTAAAGAGACTGGGGCATGTCAGCTGTCAAAGATACTGCTTAGCAGGACCACTTGGAGGACTGGGCCCAGTGAGGTGGCACAGCTTCTGGTTCCATGGGGGTGTTGTGGTCTCTTGCCATGTAAGCAAAGATAACAGGCCCTTCATCACCTGTTGCTGTAGATTTGTTTCCCTGGAAGGGAAAAAATGCTGGGAAAATATTGCTGTAGTGGTAAGAGCTGAGCTCCTAGTTGTACTGAAGTGATCAGAGCGTGGAGGTGTCTGTCACTTCTCTTAGAAGATGATTCAACACATCCAGCAAAATCACCTGCAAAATGCTTCCTTTAAAAGATGATCTTGAGCCTTTACCTGCTTCTGCTGTTCAGCCATGGTGGAATTTCCAGAGTCTCTTTCCATCTGAAATAAGAGTTGATCTAAGTAAGTGAGCCTTGTACAGCTGGAAGATTACACTCCTGACAGCAGCAAACCACCCCAACTTTGAGTTCAGCTGCAAAACTAAAGAATTTACTCTCTGTGCTCTGTCCCATCCTGCTCCATCCCTCTTGTTGGCCATCCAGCAAAGCTACAGCTTAAGAACGTGAGAAGTGAGAAAATCACCTTTGCTTCAAGTCCCGCTCTGGTCAATTTGAAGGTTTCAAGTCCCAGATGGAGAGGTGGCCACCTTGTAACAAATCCCCCTGCATTTGGCTCTGGCTTGACCACTTGTTGCTGGTTTTAGTAAACAAACAAAACCAACCCCAAGGTTCAAGTAGCTTCTGGGGCTTTCACTGTTGTCCATGGCCACAGAAGGATCTCTGTACTTCAGGATGTGCTGTGGCTGTCCTGGGGATTATTATGTAGCTGGCTTTATATTGCTGTACTCTTACCATAAGCTAACAAAACATTCTTTAAAGTTTTCTTGGCTTCACCCGGTCTTTAAGAACAAACACATGAATTATAATAATATGAAGGCCAGATTACTAAGGATTGCAGAATTTAATCTATTTTGCTTTTCTTACACAGAGGAATATTCAAGCACAGGCAAACTGTGTTACCTAAAGTAACAAAGGAAAGCAAAAAAAAAAGGTAGAAAGGCACCTGTCTAAGCTACAAACAAAAACAGTTGGAAAATCATTCATTAGATGGTATTTTATTACCTTTATGATGCTTGTAACCCTCTTGGGAGTACTCCTCTTGCAGTGTTTCAGAAAGGAGGAATACACAGCCCAAAAGAAGGCCCCATATTAGCCAGGAGATTACCCTTTGGCTTTGAAACCACTCCTCTGTGGGTGCATTCTTACAAATGCAACTCTGTTTATTTACAGGGATTTCCAGCTCTGTTTTCCTGTGTTACATGTTAGTATGCAGGTCAAGGGGCATGAGACTGAAAAATTCTGCTCGCTTGGGTTCCTGCTTACTCACAGACAGGAAAGAAGGAGGTCAGTCCAACAAACTACATACTTTGGTGCAAGAAACTGATGTTAAAAGGTTCTGGGAAGAAAAAAAAAATCAGGCAAAAAGTGATTTGAAAGTTGAAGCCACGAGGCCAAGGTCCTAATCCCCTGTTTCAACACTAGGCCTGTACATATTCCTCAGGGAAATGCTAACCTCCAGTAGTAGCCTCAGAAAAAAAAAACCATAAAAATCAAGTTAATTTTGTCTCCCTTGGCCAAAAACAAGTAGAGTGAAAGGTGCCCTGAGGTGCTAGTGCTTAAAATGAGGATGTATTAATGAAGTCACAGTGTCCCAGGATCTAGATTCCCCAGATCTAGAGCTCCTCACTATTAGACTTGGAGAGCTACTAGAACCAGTCTATGAGATTTTGTCTATTTATTTTTCTTCTGGTCAAATTTCTGTATCAAATTTGCCACCCACAACTTCATTGAAAAAAATAGAGCTGAGCCCTAACATATCTGATGAAGAAGACCTATAAGTAGCAACCTCAACCTGCCAGTCTGAATAGAACAGCACAAATAACTCGCCACAGGACAAACTGATCTTATCTCTGTTTCCAGAAGATCTCCTGATGGCAATAGTGCAGGTTTTTGTTATGTAACGTGCACTATACGCCTGTCTTGTCACACAGGTCCTCAGTGCAGGTGTGCCTACTGTCTTCAAGAAAACACCATTAATGCTTGAAATATGCCAAGCTTGATTAATCCATTCATTCTGGAGGCTTTGCTCCATTCCAGCTTTCTTAGCAGGTTCTTTGGAGTTGTGAACAGCTGAGTTTTGAGTATCTGCGTGGAGGGAGATTCCACAGCTTCTCTGGGAGACCTCTTGCAGTATTTGACTACCTGCACTATAATTTCCACACCTCCTCCCAGTATCTAATCAGAATTTTTCTTGCTATAACTCGTATCCTTTGCCCTTTTGCTGTGCCTCTCCCTTTCTTCTCTACAACCCCGTAGGGAGCTGAGAACAGCAATGTAAAATTATTCTGCTGGAACAGTACAGTAAATAGTGTTGGCTGTAGTTTTCTGTGGTTAAAGAGATTATTCTACTCTGACAACCTTGCAGTAGACAACATTAGATCTTGGAGAGGCAGACATAAAAGGGGTATATCAGTTAGCTGAATGCTGGACGACTGATGCTCCAGAACAGGTCCTCCACACAGCAGTGCTGGCTCAAACCCTGCTGAATCTCTGCATGCAAAGAGCTGGAGAGCAGGGTAGGGCAGAAAACCGAACTCCACTTGGAGTTTTATGAGGAGAAAGAGCCTTTGCTCCACTGAGTCTCATATTTTGTGAGTTTAGGAAACAGTTAAAGTTATAATCGTATTTCTAGTAGTAATCCTTTTAAAATAATCAAGTTATCATATAAGTCTTGCTTGGGCAAAAACTTCCAGTCCCAAACTACTGATATGCCTGCTTACCCTCCCTCTCCCCCAGATCCCAGTACACTACTTTAAGCCACATTTACAAGATAAAATTTTAGATTATTTACATTAAAATGGGATACATCTTAATGGATTAGGTTTTTCCCAGCTTCTCTTCTTTCTTCAACATCTATTTTGATTCAGAATACACCAAATACGTTAAAAAAGCATTTGTGTAACCATGGCTCTTTGGCAAACAAAAAAGCCATTCAGCTGCTTGGCACTGGTCTCACGTTGGCGTGTTGTACAGCCCCAAATCAGTCAGTGAAGATCTCAGCTGCCTGCAGCTATTCCAAACTATTAGCTAGAACTAGCTGTTTAAAAAAAATAAAAACCAAAAACAACCAAAAACCAAACTAACCAACTACAACTAATTTTTGGTTATTTCAATTGATTTAACAAAGAATTTGATTCAAACCAAATTCTCAAACCTAAAGTCATTGTTTTTCCAGTCAGTCTCTTGATGTTAAAGGGGACACATACACTAGTCAATAAAGAATTCTAATTTTTTTATTATTATTATTATTATTTGTACTTCATCATTAAGTCACAGATCTGTTTTCACAGTATTTTCCACTTCAGGTATCAGAAAAGGCTGGTTTGTCTAAGCTGTGTTTTAAAACGCTCAGCATAATCGAAAGGAAAGAACTGCCCTGATTTTTACATGTAACATTTACATTGTTCTTTACGTCCCATCTCTGCTGTCCCCTCACACTTCTGTGGCCCAGACAGTCCCAAACTGAGGCTGCCAAGTGCCTGCTTCCCCCAGTCCATGGCCAGTGGTGCATTGTGTTGTGTCTGTGCCAGCAGCCCGGGCGGGCACAGCTGGCTGCCAGGCAACACCTGCCCCGATGGGCTGGCTGCCTACCACCCCTGCTTGGTGTTCCTTTCCTCCTCCTGCTTCCACCTTCTGTTGGTGACTTTACTTCACTGGAATTAACCCTTATAATCTAGAGAGAGCGGAAAACAACTCCATGGAAGTATGAACATATAGAAAGGAAACTATAAGGACAACTTACCTGGTCACTCTAGAAGCTGCATATCAGCCACACTACGTGGACAGGCACAGGACTAGACGTCGTGTTTGGTGGTTGTCCTGCTGTGCCAAGGGCTGCACAGATCTGAAGGCAACCACAGTGCCTGGCAGAGCTTACAGTCGTACTTCACACAGATGCATGACGCTGCCCTTTAATGATTTCCTCCAACTTCTTATCCTATCTTTTCAAGCTCCTACACCCCTGAACTCTGGCTGCCCATTCTTTGCTCACCTCCTGCTGATGGTAGCCTAGGAGAGGTCCTTTGTGTCTATTCTGAGCCCAGAGTTCAACTCCTCACCTTTCACTACCGCCCTGGGAACTTTATGAGGGTTTAGGCAAAGGCGGTGGGGGTGTGTTTCCAAGCAGGAGAGCAGGAGCTGGCTGTCCCCTCCCAGACGAGTCATGTGAGGCCAGTGCCATGTCACTGTTAGTACTGGCAGCGTTCCCCGTCCATCTGGGTGCACTGTCACTCTGTTCAGCGTTTGGAATACGTCTCTGCAGGTAAGAGTTTTTCATCAAGAGTTAAGAGCTCTATCAGAATAAAAAAAGCCACCTACACCTTGAAGAGAAGTCGTTTTCATAATGCACTAACGTTTGGAGCACAAAATAGGTAGTGCTAGTCCAACTGAATGTGTCAGAGATTTATTTGTGAAAAGAAAAAGAGTTACTGTGGAATTTGGTAAAAACAGCCAGTCCAGTTTTTATTGTGTTGTAGTAAATCTATGAATGACACCAATGCTGTTGATACACAGCCTCCTCCACCAGTTACAAGTGTCTCCATCTGCAATGATAAGATGCAAATGGGTTAGCATGTGCTGGGGCTTAGCTGCCTTTATAGATATGATGTTTGCAGACTGTACAATCTTTAATTATGGTATTGCCGAAAGCAAGGTGTAATTTGCAATAGGATTGGTCTTTATTTTGCAAACGTGGCCCCAATCTGTTACTTGCCCAACACACAGTGCCCGACTATAAACTAAGCTCTGAGAACTGAGGGTCTTACTTGCCATAGCTTTGCAGATTCATTTTTCCACACAAGGAAAGCCAAGGAATAGTGCCTCTGCCTCACCCTTAGCCTTGTAGGGCCATTTGCAGGTTAAGCAGCATCCCAAACGAGCACAGATCTGCAAGCATGAACAATGGTGGCACCTTGGTGTCTGCACCTGGCTTATTGTACCTACCACTACATCTGTATTTTTATCAATTAACTTGTTTTCTGGAAAGAGTATTCCCAGACCTCCCCTCCCAACCTCACGCTGTTTGTCCTCCTAGCGTGGTAAACATTTGCTGTTGCTTCATTTCACATTTACGACTGTGTTACTGTTGTCATTGACACTTTCTCTTGACTAATCCTATTCCCTAGTGGGGAAAGAGTTTGTACTTCTTTGCTGTTGCTGCTAATTGTTATTTATCACAGGCAGCAGACTCAACAGGGAGGAATGTGAGCCTGTCAAGCTATTTGCACATGTGCAGAGGAGGAAGGGGAAATAGGAAGGGGGTGT